GCAACGCTTGATTACCGCATATGAATTGGCTACTTGAACATTTCGATAATTCAGCTTTTAATACGACGAAGGAAGTGGGTAGTTCAGTAGTACTGATGCCCTTCATCACAAGCAAGATACTGTTTCGACACCGCACCGGGCCCACCAAAGCCCTTATTCCTCCGGGGGTCGAGAATTTGGTAGCAGAGTTGTCTGGGCCAGCTTACCTCTTCGAATCCACGTGTGAACGCTATAGAACAGCTATCACAGTGTTCCAAGGATTGTCTGCTTGGCCAGCACTCAGCGACATTTATAGCCAAGATGAAATTTTTTCAGGAGCAGGAGACAAACCCATACGCATGAAGCGCTCTAGGATTTCCGTGGACAATAGATACGAGGAAACGAATGGAATTCAAAGAAAAATCTTTCAATTAAAACAATAAATCTATTCTTTCCGTATATTCAAGTCGAATCCAAATATTATATCGGGGTTTTCCACTTTATAGCTCGCAGATAACACGTAATGATACCAGCGCTCTTAGTTTTTATGGTACTGTACTTTCTCTAACACGGCACAACAATTCATGATGTTTTTTTGTCGTTTGTTTAATTAGTATTTAGCTTAATTAATGTTTAAATAATCGTTAATTTTACTTAATGAATTAATTAATGTTTAATCGACTCATCTATAGATTTAGTTGAGGTACTTTACAACAACTGGGAAAACTGTCTGCTCTCTAACTCCCACGACCGACTTTCTATTAAGCTCGGCATTGATCAAGTAATTCTTCGTATTTTTGTTGAGCAAACGCGAGGTGTTATTATTCCTTATCGCCTTAAAGCTGACGTTTCGGCGCATTTCGCCTTCCTCAGAGCCTGGAAAGGTCAAGTTGATAGCAATCTACTCGGCCAGACGCCTCCATAACCAAACAAAGAAACTCCAAACCAAGATTTCAATCACTTTGAACACAGCTTTGCAAACGCACCGCTTCCTATGAGGTTTCCACTAAGTATGTCATGTAGAGACCAACCGCACAGAAATCACGTGGAAGTATAATGTGCCCCTCACATCAGAAAAGCAGTTTTATATACTGCCCTATATCACGCGTGATAATGAGGCATTCTTCCCTGCGGTTCAGAATGCCTCGAGAGTTTTTCGCGCCTGTGCTCTTGATTCGCGTGCGAGGATCGTGACACATACTTCAATGTGGTCCCCGTTATGTCTGTGGGTCCTATGCGTGCCTTGCGGGGTATTTGGTCTATGTTTGCCGGCTAGGTGTTGTTTTATGCGGACACAGAGGGCTCTGCCCGTTTCGCCAATGTATTCGTCCCCGCTCGTTTTACAGGAGATCAGATAAACTATACCCGAGCTCATGCAATCACCGTCTCTACCACTGGCGCAAATTATGAAATTTTGAGTTGCATATAGACGGTCATATAGGCGGTTACGAACTAGCTGGCGCTTAAGATTACTCGGTAATCTTAAGTAATCTTGAGCGTTTGCTCAACAAAAATACGAAGAATTACTTGTCTGCTCTGTCTCTGCGACAGCAGTACTGAGCTGAATGTGAAAACTGGCCGAACTCTAAATACACCCACGCGATGCGGTGCAATGCGGCTAATATGTGCCGTCTAAAACGGACGATATCAAGATGAAACGAATTCATACGTTTGCGCATATTCAGAATACAAATCACATCACACATCAGTCAGACGCGTAACGGAAGCGCTGACCGCAAACTAATAAAATTCTTGACTTGTTACCTTACATACGCCGTTGTTATTTGTAATGGCGACATATGTTGAACATTTGACAGTATGACATCGAATGGCCATTGTCTGGTGATTTGAATAGATTTAGAAATAAACTGTTGCATTAAAAATGCAGCAATGTTTCGCATTATACACTCGTTACGATTTTGTTATTATGAAGCGCGCCTCACATGGCACTTACCATACATAATCAGCAACACCTGTCGGAACATTCTTCACAGTTGTCAGTGGTTTCATATGTACCTAGATTAAGAAATATATTGCTTTCCGGTATTCTTTTCGAAGGTCATCTCTTCAGTGATTTGTATCGTTGTGGGAAATGGAAGATGTTCATGTAAGTCTTACTGCGTTGTTATGGCGAAGCGGTTCATCATCATGCATGACTACCCAAATTTAAGTGTAGTTCACTTCCATTCAGAAGTATTGCGAGAAGTAAGCTTGTGCGAGAACTTGTCATCGCTCTACAAGGAACCTAGGCTGCAAGACGCAAGCTTCAATGTGATCTATAAGGGTCAGTGATGGCCCATAGTGATGACCTGGGAAGGATCGATTGCCTACAGTGTCAACATGGTAGTGTCCTAGCACGATAACCGTAAGAATCGGAAGTATAACCGTTATCAAAAGGCGGCAAAATGACGATTGAATGAAGATTCTGGCTGTTTCACCGTATGTTGGGCTATTCACATGTCAAACAACCAGTTGTGTATATTCAAAACACGTCTACTTTCGCATTCGTGTTCAGCTGCATTGCGTTCAATTGTAATTTGGTTCCGGTTGTATGCCCGTTTACATTCAATTATGAGAGAATATTTGTATAGAAATAATCAGCGTCAAACCAAAAATGGAATTGCTGGTCTCTCTCCCGTATTCGTTTTCGATTTTTCCAACTGTTTTCTTTTTATCACAACACACGTCGCTTATATCTATATAAAAAGGATAAAGCTCTCGGCTTTCATCAATCCCTGTGGGACGCGCCATGCATTCGATTTCATTAAATATCGCTGAAGGTGATTGAAGTCATACCTGCCCTTTACAAAGATTCTCGATGGCCTACCGATGTATCGAGCCAGTGCTGCTGTCCTCCCAGACAAGTCTGGTACCAATTTGCCGACGCCGGAGGAATGGAAGCTTGGTGCGCCATGGACGCAGGGATGTATATATGCCTGCCTCCAAAGCCAAAAAAACCGCCATGGACGCAGGGATGCCTCCAAAGCCAAAAAAACCAAATATTTCGAGAATAACTCCTATAATTGATGCTCTCACCTATAATCCGTTAAACATCAGATTATCTAAGCGACCATCAGTGAATGTTCCTTTCTTCTTCATTGCGTTACAGAGGTTTTTCTTCGCTCAAGTGGACTTCTTTTTGTTTAAGGAACATAAAGAACACTTTATTTTCGTACGAGGTCCTTCATTTTTTGTCTTTTTTTCCTGCGAAAGTGTACCTGCCCATCGGTGCTCGCCGTATGAACTAGGTATGCTCACAGCTAGCTTGCCTATATTGAGGAGGTCAGTGTTTTATTCTTGAGCACTTGTCAATAACGTCACTGTTACAATTATTAAATACTGGCTGACGTTGCGGCAGGTTCGCCTTCCTCAGAATCGCTTTGTGCTTTATATGTCTTCTAGTTATTGAGCTGTACAGTTTTACATAAGGGAGGGAATCTGTGTGGCTGATGTCCAACAAGAACTGGAAGACTTATGAATAACAAAACGCCTCTGAAGAAGGCGAAACTGCTGAAACGTCGGCCAGTGTTTAATGAAACTTGTTATTTATAACCTCGTGACCGCTCATGAATAAAACATTAACTTATTGAACATTACCAAAGATTGAACATTACCAAAGTTAGCAGTATATCGGTCCTGGAATATTTAAACAGAGGTGGGACTGACCTACTGAAGGTGATCTTTACTGGCCTCCTCTCTAGATCCTTCACAAGTAAAGTTCCGTAAATAGGTAGCGTAGACGTAACGTTGTAGTAATTTATAGATAATGATATCTTTAGAGTAGATATAAAAAAACAAAAAAAACAAAACGGTTAAAACACGGCTGGAGAAAAAGACGAAAAGAAGGATCCACGTGGTGTGGTGGTGAACAGCTTAGTCTCCGGAAAGGGTAATAGCGGGTTCGATCCCCACTACAGACACCTACAGTCCGGAGTTTTGCAAATGATTCAGCATCATTGTGGTTATAATCAGATCTTTCTCGAAAACACTAATACCTCTTAGCTACTGTCTTCAATAGGAATTTTGACGTCATACTGGGATAGTGAAGACGGATGCAGGGGAATTTTTGTGCTGGTTTTCTGTAAGAAATTGTTATGACTAAGAAATATGTAAGACAAGTATACGATGCATTGTAATGTCTGAGGGGAAAAAACGCGAAGAGAATAGTTGATAAAGATTCTCTTGGACTTTGCACTTAACCCTTTTGACATACACTACTTTTTATTCACATTTATTTACTTGACATTAGCCTCCAGTTGTTAGAGAGCTCATTACATATTCACTTCATTTAGTAGGCAAAGCCCTACTTGTCCAGTTGTGTGCCTCGAATACTGAAGAATTGACCGAGAACAATTGATGTGCGTATTCTCAATTATGCAGCTATCAGCGTTAGCGCGTTACTAATCTCTACTACAACACCACATATATACTATTTATAACGTCACAGTCGAGATTGCGATTCACTCCAGGTGGATGGCTGTTTGTTTGCGCTTAATGCGGATCATTTAATCCGGAGGGAAAAGCTGACATATCGTTCTTGTAGTGAAATGGGTAGTGGTGCTATGCAATACACATGTGGTCGTTGGTTCGATCACGCACCCAGAGCTGGCCAAGCAACTCATCCCTCCAGAGTCTTCAAATTGATGCTGGACTTGTTTAGGAAGGTAAACGTCATCTTCTTGATACATTCATCGCCAGAGTATACAGCTCAGTGTATAGGTCAGATATACTTTCAATGACCTCTGACGTTGCTCGATAAAGTCGAATGCATCGCTCACAAACTGATCGACGTCGAACGCTCAATATTTTTTTTACGCGTCATTTTCTTCATCACCATTATGTCCTCTTCAGCATTACATCTTACTGGTGCACCTATCCAGGGGTAATGTTGATGAATTTGGTGTGATGCTAATCTAGCCCTTTAGCAGTCGTTTTGTGATCTTGACACAACTCAAAAGATCGATGATGTTGGCATAGTTCACAACACAGTTGGCAGGGCACTAAGCAACTTTGGCACGTGTATGGGACTACCGAAGCCCAACAAGGGTGACCAGCGACTGGGGCTAACCGACTCCACAGCACTAACTCATCGGGCACTTGCCAACGACGAGACGACGAATGCATCAAGTACGACGAAACGACACGTTTTAAAGGTCATCTCTGTGCACTCATCGCGGCGCACATTATTTTCTTGCTCGATATCTGCGATCTCGGTGACGTCCGGTGTATTTCATCACTGCTGCGCCTGTTTGTTATGTGTCGTCTCTGACCTCGTTTAGGCCTATATAAATCGGAAACTTACAGACATGATGATTTAGAATGATTGTCAGTCGCATTATTCATCCATATATCATCCATTCATCATCACTCATTCATATGTACTGACTTATTTACTTGGAAGACGATGAGGTCGATAGAAGACGAAGATGATGTACTGGCCGAAATCATCGCTCATTCATCCATTCATGCCATCCATAATTGGATTATAAATTCTACTTCGATGTGCTCATCCCTATTTCATCATATTCCACAACATTATTTCCTGTTCATCAATGGATTTGTCTTCGTAAAAACCCATATTCGATTCATCTACGGTGTGTATTTTTGATTTCTAGTTAGATATTTGGTTATTACTGTAATTATTCATCATATGTTGAACTCCCATATTGCTTTTTCTCAAGTTTTAATTGCCTCCGTTTGCTTATAAACGAACGATTTCCGAACATTTTTGTGACTACAGCTGTACATTTCATTATTCCTCATATCTATACTGTATATATTATTTCTCAAGGAGCGTGCACCGCACTAATCGGAGGTACCCTGTAACACGCACAGGATTGATCCGCGCGCCCAGGGTCACCAAGCCTTCCATCACTCCGGGTTCGGCAAATTGGTACCGGAGTTGTTTGGGAAGATAGCGGCACTGGCTCGGTACATCGGTAGATCACTGTGAGCCATTCTATAGGACAGATATGCACTCAATCTCGCCTCCAGCGATGCTTAATGAAGTCGAATGCATGGCGCATCCCTCAGGGATTGATCGACGCCGAGAGCTTTAGAGATTTTATACTATATCTTATATCATACTAGGTGTTTTAACTTTTCCCTAGAGTACAATACTAAAGTATATACAGCTCGCGTTTCGCTAAAAGTGTTCTGTGTTTTCTTAGTGCTCTTCGAAAAACAGCACGTGGTACGTAAAAGTTCTTAGAACGTAGCTGAGATTGATTTCAGATGCAAATAGCTTAAAAGTAACAATGGATGAGAGTTACATTCAGCTTTTGGCAGCCGCTGCTGCCGCTGTACCGACATCTCCGTTCATCTCGAACACCACGGACTCCATTGCACAACAGGTGACGCGGTTTTTTCTTTCCTTTTCTTCAAAAGCCATTACGTTGTAGTCATTAATTTGTATACCGTTAAGACCAGAGATATTGTAATTCCTTTTGGAAAATCAGCAAGGTCATAAGAATTCCTATGTATTTTCCCTATAGGATCAGCTTCAACTTGAGCACTTATCGTGACCTATTTAAGTTCTTGAGAAACCGAAACCGTATGCTTTGAAGGAAAACAGAAAAAAACGCTAGTTTTTCGCTCATTTGTTTCCGTGTTCATTACGTAACGCAACTATTAGACGACGCTTACATACATAACTAATGCATACAGTGTTTACATTTTATTTTCTGCCTTCTATAATTTTAATGGCAAGGTGTATTGCGAAATACAAGCACAAGATTGCCGAGGTATTTGCAAAACTCCGGACCGCAGGTGTCTGCGGTGGGGAACGAACGCGCTATTGTCCTTCCCAAGAAGTAACGCGTCTCCAGATCAATTCTGTTGACGGGTGATTGCTGATGGCAAAAGATCGATAGAACTAGCTGAGAGACAGGCGAAACGAAAGACCTGCATGGTGTGGTGGTGAACGCGTTACTCCCCGGAAAGGACAACAGCGCGTTCGTTCCCCACCGCAGACACCTGCGGTCCGGAGTTTTGCAAATATCTCAGCATTATTGTAATGCACACAGTGATGGTCACATGTCAGTAATGTTGAGTGCAGCCTAAGAGTAGTGCAGATTGCATAACACGTATATGTGGGACATTTCATTTTAAAAGCCTGTATTCATTTGGTCGATGACGAAATTGTTGTTATGAGAAAGGTTTAAGCGTGAAAGAGAGGGAGAGGGATACAAACACAGAAGGGTATATATGGAAGGTCGTCTAAATATTAAGGACGGTGTGAAGTTCTCGTTAGATTTGTGTTGGGGTGTTTAGCGGAAGAAATGTTGGAAAGTAATGAAATAGAAGGATCTAAACTTAAGTCATGGATCATTTGAGTAAGGGAAGGTCGCCTTCAAATGGCAAAGAGCGGTTAGTCCTGTTTTTGCTACTGCGTCGTCCTGACATAGGTAAACTTGTATTAGAAGAGATGAGATATGTGAAGAGCTTGTTATGACTACGCTACCTGGCTTGCTAGCTCTACCTAGGTTTCATTCGTTTTATTCTCCCAGCAACTCTTTTTTCCTATAATCCATAAAACTTCTGTTTTTCCGGTATGAATTACTATATGTCCGTGAATTGAAGTCTAAACAGTTAATGTTACGTATCAAGCACAATGAATCATAAGGAATTTTGTCAGAAATGAGGAGCGCTTCCCGATAGCGCATTGGTTAGTGATGCAGTCCATTAGGAAGCAACGTGCTGGTTGGACATCCCAGAGCTCACCTCCAATCAACACGGGAACGTTTTTGTCTGCTACTCCAAGATTACAAGGAAAATCGCCTACCTCCACCAGCAGTCGACGACATTCGTAAATATGATGCAATCTTCAAGCAGTAGCCGAAACAACGCGTGAAATGTTCGAAGATCTTAGTGGAGGATGAATGCGAGGAAAACGAATCGAATTAAAGAAGTGCTGGGATCCTCACAGTAGATGTGGTGACGAGTCGTTTAAAATCAAAAAAAAATTCCTGAAGAGAAATAGAGTCCTACCTAGCACCTAGTTTGGTGCTAGTGGTTAACTAGAAACACTGTTGTACAAGTTCGTTAAACAGAAGTAGTTGGCGCCTTGAACGTCGGCATTGCCAGGTGATCAAAATGCATCAAGCGAAACTGATTAAGCAGTGCAGATATGAATGTTCTTTTTACGACGATTCGGAGGCAGTCTTAAACGGGAATATTAGTGTGGTTATAACCCAGTAGGCCTAACTGTTACGCCATAGAAACAGAAGTGTCCATTTTTGCTGATATTCAGGAATATAATTTGTAGACACTAGATCTTTTTTCGTGAAGCTATATGTGCTCTCTACTTATTCCATCCGACTTACAGGCATTGGCCCTAAATCCGTCTTCTCTGTTGCAAAATCATTGGTTGCAACAACAATACTACCAGCAGTTAGCATTGCAATACCTGGAAAATATCCGGACAAGTAAGCGCAAGAAATTTAGCTTGAAGATAACGTAGTAGGTCCTGTACCTCCCATACTGCTGAGACAACATTAGGTTGTTGTATTTATTTAGTTGTAGGTTGTATGTTAACCAGTTTTCTCTTTAAAGTGGGTAATTTTTGAAGGGGGATCCGAAAAGTATTGGTGGTTCCATCACATGTCAATGTTCCGCACGGAAGTGGACGTCTTTCTGTTGAAAACTGGTCGCAAAAATATTTAGTTATGACTCAATTTGCAGAGCAAATGATTGATGCTGGTTTTCTTTTTCTGCGGAAATAGCCATTGGAAGCGGGAGGATGAGAGTCATATATGTCTATAATAATTCTTGATTTAGGTACTGTGCCAATTTCTCCTTTCTCTGGAATCGCAGTCGCTGCACAGCCGTTATCATCAAGCACATCAAAGATTGATGACAGCTCCATTTTTTCCCCTTTAGGACCAAGAGTTAGTTAAGCTACTTGTTTTTTCATTCAGCTTTACTACTAATCACATAATTCAGCCAGATACGACTACATCGTCTTACATTCCTACCATAAATGTAAGTGGTATAGCAGCTCCGATTCCGAAGCGTCCTCGCCTTATGCTTCCGGTTGTTAATGAAGAACGACAACTAAGTGTGCTGCAATCGCGAGCTGACGATAAACCAAGCTGTGTTGTAAACAACGATTTGCCACAGCCTAATATTGCCTTGATGCCAGCTGCCTTTACAGCATTTAGAACATCTGCAGTGTCACCTGCAACTGGTAAGTTCTCATACAACTTTTGATTATATGATCACTTGGGAATTTGATGTGTAGAAAATATTGATGCCGGAGAATGGAAAGTGACTAAAAAAGGATGACACCAAAACCAAACTGTTGAGTCGATGTGTTCTTGTTCGGACACGCTATGTTCTAAAAAGGATGTAGATGAATAATGTAGCGATCATTTTAGGATGAAAAAAAAGAGATGGGAAACTTGACACTCAACAGTTCGTGATATGTTAAGCACAACTAATACTTTTTCTTCAGTTTTATCGAGCTAATTTTCTTTTTATTCATTTAGCGCTGGAATACGTGTTTGGAAGCTTCTTCGAGTTTAGTAATCGGTTTCTGGTGTCAAGTAATTAGGTGTGAAATGAAGGTGTTTGGTCTAAATTTTATAGCGGATGAATCAAATGCTATTGAGAAAGATGAAGAACTCTCTACATGATGATCATCTCTATTCCTGGCTTATATTTCTAGTAATCTATAGCCGTCTTTTACAGAAACACCAGTAGAACCGAGATGCTCATCTAGCACTTCAGTGGATACGTTATCAAATTCTAAAGAAGAAGAAGAACCTGAACTATTCATCGATATTGAATCCGTCGACAATCGTCCCGAAGGTCGTGATCGTCGTCGGGCATACATCGAATTTTACAGAAAAGTAAAGAGTGCTCGACAGAGGTTGGTTTTTTTTCAATAGGCGATCACCGCTTTTCGATAATTGAAGAACGTGGGGAGTTGAGAACTTGACAGACTGATAAAAGACCCTTTACTATACTGCCAGATACTTGCTTACTTAAACACTTAGACGGCCAGTCCGTACTGGTTGTGCACGCTTCAGGATACTCTCCTTTTTTCGCAGTTTTGCTGGTTTAGCCATTGTGTTACCCTGGAATCCCGAGGTCAGCCTGGCCAAAGTGTGCCCCAAGCCTTCACCACCACAGGCAGTCGCAGCACTTGTGGATCAGAGGATGATTTACCACCATGCGATTTTGATACCAGAACGATGGTGGATCCTGGTATTGGTTTACTCTTAGCTAGGCTTTCTGATAGAAACGCCGGACTCCTTCTCAGCTTGGAAAACCCTGCCAGGAGATGAATCCCCCGCTGTACATCACAGTCCGACACACAGGAACACCTTCCAGCCACGATGAGATGGTAACCGTTGGGAGGTATCGCTAGATAGGTGGAAGAAATTGTTTGTAGTATTATTTTGGTTCTTGATCCATTGAAATGTCGAATTCTGAGAAACGTGAAAACAAAATTTGTGAGTTACAATTACAGTATTGCTGAGATAATTGCAAAATTTATATCTTAGGTCCGACTCGAACTCGCGATTACCCCATCACACGTGGCCCCCGGGAGGTGTAATAGCGAGTTCGGATCTGGTCTGCGATCTAAGTTTTGCAAATATCTCAGCATCATTGTGCTTATACCTCACAAAATACTCTACTGTTAAAAAATAATGGGCAATAGGTAAAAAGCTGAACAAAATTTGCATAGTTAAATTTTTTACGCGACCGTGGCAGCCACAAAGAGCACCGGTAAATCAGAGGATGCTGTTAACAAAGTCTCTCATGTTCAATCGCGTTGGTATAGGAAATACTAGCTCCTACAAAAATGAGATGAAAAACAGGTTCCGTAAACCCAACAGAACCAGTGCTTCTTATTGGCAGAATATGAAAATTACTATCGGCTAAAGAGCTGAGAAAGGCGTTTGGCGCAGTGAGAGGTCAGAGTGCACCGTATGCATTGATTTCCATGCATTTTGTTTCTACTGCCAATCTTGCCATTGTCTTGCATTTCTTTTAGTTTGGAATCAACATCGTATTTAACACAAATGTCTTTCCTAATGTGTTCCTTCAAAACGTATCCCCTACAAGGTGAATTATTTATAGTAAGCGTTTCTCGGGAGAATTTACTGATGCTCTGACGGCTATGAATTTGGTGTAATAGTGTACATGTTAAGATGTGATTGTTATAGAGTGGTTGTATTTGTGTTTTCAGTTAGAAAGGCGAACAGCGTTATTAGGTTTTACATAGGTTGTCTTTTTATTGACTCTCTGTTCCCGTCATTTTTCAAGAGCTTAGTCAGAGAAGTCGAGAGATAATACTTTAAAAAAACAAAAGTTATATTGCACCGTATAAGCGTTGTCTTATTGAAGCATCTTTAGCATTCGCTTTCCAGAGAACCCGGTCCGTTGCTGAGTTGCGCCCTTTGTGATTGCCAAATACTAAGCAACGATAACTCAATCCACACGCATGTGAACCATCATGCGGATGCCGGTGGATTTTGGTGCAAATTGTGCGGAGTGAATGAAGTCGATAAATATCGGATATACGAACATATGCGAGTTAACCATCCAAACAATGTATGTGAATACTTAAACATATATTTTCCTATTCGAATCATTTTTTTTTGTAAATGGTTTTTCTATGTAGATGGAATTGAATGCAGTAGTGGCGATATAACTGGTGTGCGCGAATTGCTCTAGTCACTATGCGAATGTAGTTTAAGATGGAACTGTTCGAAGACCGTCGGGATATAATCAAGCTATGCGCTGTAATTCAAGAGTGCTTCCCGCGAACATTCCCCCGATCCAAAAAGGATGTCGCGCGAGGATTCGACATTATAATCAAGTTGGTGGAATTTCTTAGCAACGTTTTTTTTAGTCATTCGTAGTTTAGTGATGAATAAAAAAAAAGTAAATGTCTTAGACAACCGTTGATGGTTTAGGAATCACTTGTTAAGAATTGCGATGGATATTAATGACGTCACAACCGTGATAATCGATATTTTAGGCATTTGGAAGATAATCGGATCACAGAACTAAAGTGCGACGTTTGCGATACGGTTGTAAAAGCGACAAAAGCGACTATGACGAAGCATGCACACCAACATCCAATGTACAGGTACCGATTGATGTGTCATGTTTTTTATATGACCAATTTTCACATATTGTGTGGATCCAGCGCATTCTGTTTGTTTTCTCGCATTATAATCCATGGCACTGTCTGTACTGCTACTTCAAAATATTGCTTTCATGAAAGTCGTGGATGTTGGTCTAGCTTATTTTTCCCAATACCACAGACCAGCTGTGATAGAGCGTCCCAGTATGTTCACTAGAGGAAGTCGTTGACTTTTCCGGACTAGACGAAGCCCTTAACAGGTAAACCTGGTGCGAATGTTTCGAGACCAGGGGTGTGGAGGAACCAACGACTGCTTGTACTGCAGCCTGCTTCTAAGCACTGAGCTATACGCGTCCCGTGTTTCGTCTTTGTTTTTAAAAGGACAGTTCTGATGTTCCGTCAGAACGCTGTCAAAAGATTTCATCTTTGATGCATTCCTCAAAGCTGATTATCTATTCCAAAATAAGGAGCTGATCTGTATCGTTGAATACGTGAAGGATTTGGCTCCAGTTCAGTGCAGTGTTTTTCTTTAAATTTTGTGATAATTTGGAAAGTAATTTATATTGGGGAGGGATAGGGACGCAGGTTAGCTTTGTTGTGATATATGAACATATGACCAGGTGCGAACACATTCTCTACGCTTTGTCATTTGACAACTGAAAGAGTGCTTTTCCTGATCCATACAAATGAAATTTAGGTGTAAAGTGTGCAAATTCGTATCAGAAAACCAGAAAGCTCAAGAGGACCATCAAGTGGAAGTGCATAGTGTGGCTGATCCGAAGAATATGGTGAACTATAACGTGTGTGGTACAGCCGATATTTTGGCAAAAATTGTTCAGCGATGTTTCGCGTATATCGTTCGACCGAACGATTCCACAAACTCTATGAAAAACCCTAATCAAAAGAATTGACGTTGCCACTACTTACTGCTCAGCTAGTCGATTAAGTCGTCGTTTCGTTGAATCGTAGCCTATTTTACCGAAATGGAAAATTTTGTTCTTTGTTGTTATGTTTGTATGTGAAGTCAGGGAACGTATTCGTAAGCCACAGCACTACGGGATACGTCTCAGGATGTTCCTAAAGTACCATGTAAGCGTGTATTTATTTAGTAGCGCGTTATACACTTTATCTATGCAGTTTACGGATACGGGATTTGTAGCATGTCACGAAAATGCAGCTATTTGTAGAAACGACTCAAACCTTTGGGCTTGAGGATCTATCACGACCCTAGTTCGCATGTTGCTTTTGCAAATAGCTGTATCTTGAACACAGAGCACACTTCGTTTACTTTATGAACCCTTGACTATTTTGGGTGTCATCGTTCCTCATATGGCTTTCTAGGTGGTGATTAGTTATCTCGCCATAACTATTAAACATGGGTCGAATAAACGGAGTTGTTTTTATCTTTCGCATTGAAATTTCGTTCTCATAGAAACGTTAATGTTACTTCTTCGTGTTCCTGTTAATATTCTGACTTGTATTCATGTTGTTGTGGTTTACAATCCACAGAGTTGCTTTCGTGACTATGTGCTCACAATTTCGATGATCTTTGGTGTTTTCCTCAATATGTTTTTATTTTTAGGGCTTATCTTTGACGTTTTTGTGTTTTTTGTAACAGTTGACTTAATAATAATAATAATTTTTAAGAAACACTAATGTCGTCCTTTTCGTTAACTCTTATTGTGAGTAAATTATGAGGGTTTAGTAGCGCAGCAACATAGGCAGTTTGAGCCAAGTGATTGATGTGACGGCTTAATAGCGTATTGAGTGTTATTTGTTGTAAAATTAGTACAAATTAAATAACAGGAGAGAGTAACAGATTGCCGAGGAAAGAAATTGAAGTTTCATTGAAAGGATAGGAAGTACTAGGCAGCTGACGAAAACATAAAGGCGGATTGATGTGATAATAAAGATAGAGGTGGATTTTTGCAAAACTTCAGACCGCAGGTGTATGCGGTGTGGATCGAACACGCTAGTATCCTTTGAGTGGACTAACGCAATCACCACCACACCACGCAGGTGCTTCGTTTCGTCTTTCTGTCAGCTAGTTTTCTAGTCACCTGTGCCATCAGTAATGAACCGTCAACGAGATTGATCTGGGGACCACAAATCGGTATTGAGTCATTGATTGAAATTTCTCGCTCTTGTCTTTTTGTTGGTGTTGAGCATTGGGTGATCAACCAGTTTCTATGGCCAGTATAAAAGTCATAGGCTGATCTAATCTTAGTTTATTGTAGTTCCACTAAATTTGATATTTGAATGGGATTTGTGTTGAAAGTGATGAAACAGAGATCTAACACATTTGTGACGATACCTGCTTCTCAAAATTTCTGGTGCGAGACTAAACAAGGGATCGCCTTAGAACTGACGTAGACAAACAAACTCCTCTCAATAATGGTCCTTTTTTGTAAACTACAAAGTGTGTAAAGTGCACTTTTTTAGATGGTGATAGCGGTGTACAACATCTGCGCGCTATTGTCTCGCTTTGAAACTAAAGCATCATAGAAAACAATGTACGGCAAGAGAAACAATCGAGAAGAAAATGCATTGAGATCAATACCTAAGGTTGTGAATATCTTTCAAAATTCTCCACATAGATAGGAGAGGCTTAAGGCCTCTTCTATAAGGCGGACTTGGTTTTCAACTTCGTATCACAGACCAGGAGTGGAATCAAAACCCTTCAAATCGGATTGCATACAAGTGAACACTTTCTGCAACCTATGAGCAGAAGTAAAAGCGAAGAATAGGGAATTTCAGGGATTTCTCTTTTGGTCACCACTATCGAAAATACTTTAGGGGAATCTGTTCAATTTAGAAATATGTTTGAATACTGAAGAATCAAGGTGTATCAAGAGCAAAAAAAAAAGAAGGAATAGGCAGTGAAGAAGAGGAGAGTCCTATGGAAGTCACTGCAACACAGTAAGCAGATGTGCTTAGCTATTTGTTGGGATCAATTATTGAATTCTCATTTAAACTTGGCATTATTCGAATTATGCAAATGAGTCTTAAGATTAGCGACAGCAATAAAAAGGGGGTAGGAAAAAAGTTCAGACCTCCAGTCCTTCCGTGCTTGGTAACTGTCTTCCAGTTCCTCGTTGAACATCGAACGACGCACGTCGAGTTTCTGACTCAGGGTCGGTTTCGAGTACATCCACTGAGCGAGCCCGAAGAGGTCCACCAGAAACTGATAGAAATGCTGAAACAAAAGTGGATACGGATAAGAGCAAAATGGCCTGTTTTCGCTGGTTGTGTATACCCCGGCGTAAATTCCAGTTTTTTGGAGTTTTGTTGGATTAGGCATTGTGGTGCTCTGAAGTCCCGAAATCAGTCAGGCCAGTTTGCCCTAGGTGGCCACCATTACAGGCAGTCGCCGCCTTTGTGAATCAGAAAGAGATTTGCCACCATGCGATTTAGTTTGATACCAGGACGGTGTGGATCCTAGTATTAGTTTACTCTTAGCTAGGCTTCCTGATGGAAACGCCGGACTCCCCAGCTTGGGAGACCCTGCCAGAAGATGTATCCTCTGCTGTACATCGCAGTACACACAGGAACACCTGCCGACCAAGATGAGGCGGTAAACTGTTGAGAGGAAATGGATTTATAAAGACAACAATTTATAAAACAGTTCTTGACCTTCTGTACGTTAATAGAAATCTAGAAAACAAAAAAAGCAATGAGAAACCCGTCATTTTTTGAAGTATGGACCAATCGATCGCTAAGGAATGAGGAAATAGTCGACTTACAATGGCTATGGATCTCTAATGAATCAGATTAGCTGTGAAATCAAAAGGCAAAACGAAGAACGAAGTAGCATTGCTCGCTGAAGTTGCATTGAACTACTCTGCTTGCATTGACAAATCCTCTTTTCAATCTGTTCCCAGCTGTCGACAAAGCCTTCTACACTTAGCAACTTCTATAGAGTCTAGATTGATTCTATTCTTCAGCCCAGATTATCTATAGAAATCGTTAAGGATGGTCGGCCCTCTACGATGTCAAATTGTTTTTAACGGCGTTTAAACTATAAAGAATGGCCATCATCCTGGGAGAATGTTTGTCCCACATGTGAAACATTTCTCCTACCATCCGTAAATTTCATGAATGAGACTTTGGAACACCATAGCACTGCAATTTTATGATTCCAGGGAAAGTCATTACCGTCGAGCACACTTATCATGCCAGTGAAGATAGGAGACGATAAATAATGAAGCTGCAGAACCCACAACAAGGCCTTGTTGATGATTTTTTTGCTGTGTTTCGACGTTCTGATTATATTATTATCAATACCAGGATCCACCACCGTCCTGGTATCAAAGTCAGATGGTGGCAAATCTTTATCTGATCCCAAGGGCTGCGACTGCCTGTGATAGTGAAGACTTAGGGCAGACTTTGACCAAGCTGAGCTCGGGATTCCAGGGAACCACAATGGCTTAACCAGCAAATCTCCGAAAAACGGTGATGATGGGGCCAGCACAATCAGTGAGCATGGGCCATTCAAGTACCAAGTAAGTAAGACTATATTTTTAAGGCTACGAAACGAATGGAGAAGGTGCTGAGGTCCTCACAACATGCCAGAAGAGGCCATTCATGTTTATGTTAGTATCAGCGGATACAAGGATCTCCTTCATACGAGGGATCTTGAGTCGATTAGTCGTGAGGTTACGTGGCGCCTCCCCAGGTGGCGGATAGGGAATTAATCGCGTACTAAAAGTGAGTTGGACTCCCTGTTTCTGCTGCGCCGATTAGGCACGTACTTTCCGTATTTGCTAGGCGCATTCATGCGTGCGTGAGTGGGTGCGTTTTCGCTTATGCGGATTGTATTCTACGAGTCAATTCGGCCAAAGGCCTGCAATCAAGCGACAGTAAAGTATGTGGGAAGTGGATAGGAGTCGCCTCCAAAGAGAAAGCTCCATGTCCACACTGGAAGAGCCTGGCAAGCTACCCGTGAGTATACCCAGCTCCCACGTTCAGACTCCAGCAAGCTATACGTGGGTATCAGAAGTGCTAAACACAGTTTGAAAAAACGGGTCTTATTCCCCTGACCACGAAAGAGCCCCAATTCGGTAGCGTTGAGTAGGATGAGTACGGAGAGGCCACTAAAATCTCAGAGCCAATGGAAGCTGCCTGGATCGCGAAGAACTAAGGTGACGATCTGCACCTTCAATGCCCGTACGCTGGCATCCGAGTCCTCGATAGAAGACATGACCACGCAAGCGAGAAGGATAGGGTACGACGTCATCGGCCTGGGGGAAACGAGACGACGCCGACCATTCAACGCCGTCTCTGACACTGGAGCAGGGCTGTTCCTCGGAACATGCGACAGCAGAGGAGTCGATGGCGTCGGCGTTCTCGTCAACAAGAATTTGTCCATAAACATCGATTCATTGGAACAGCTTACAACCCGAATCGGACGTTTACGATTAAAAAGATGTGGATCAATACTGCCTTTGACAATCTTCGTCGTTTACATCAACATCAAACTCAAATGACATCAAACTATGACCAAGAATAAGTCGAAGCGTTCTGTATGGACTTGGAGAAGTCCTACAGAGAAGACTATACATTCTTCATGGTCATCATTGGAGATTTCAACGCCGAGATTGAGCTAAGAAGAACGTCTGAAGAGCGTCATATTGGGATGCACAGATTAGAACGGCACGAACAAGGTGAGCGGCTATCTGAGTCTATCATGGCGAATAAGACCATCAATGGTAACTCGCAATTCCAGAAGCCCCACCCTCAACACTGGACGTGGAAGTCTGCCAATGGAGAGTACGATAACGAAATAGACCACATCATAGTAAATAGAAGGCTTTGCCTAACCGATGTCGTTATTGTTCCAAAATTCCACACGAAATCAGACCACCGTCTCCTTCCTGCAAGATTCTATTTCTCGCGCAAAGGAGAAAAAGCC